ATCTATCTACAGTCTACAGTGTGCCACAATGGAACAGTGGAACTCATGGAACTCTCAAGGCTTAAATTTATATATATTTATATAAATATAAATATATATATATATTTAATCCCACCTTTAATCCCAGCACTTGGGAGGCAGAGGCCGGCGGATCTCTGTGAGTTCAAGGACAGCCTGGTCTACAGAGCTAGTCCCAGAACAGCCAGGGATACATAGTGAGACCCTGTCTCAAAAAAAAAAAAAAAAAAAGAACAAGGGGGCTGGAGAGATGGCTCAGTGGTTAAGAGCATTGCCTGCTCTTCCAAAGGTCCTGAGTTCAATTCCCGGCAACCACATGGTGACTCACAACCATCTGTAGTGAGGTCTGGTGCCCTCTTCTGGCCTGAAGACATACACACAGACAGAATATTATATTCATAATAAATAAATATTTAAAAAAAAGAACAAAAGCATACATAAGGTTAGATACTTGGATGAGATTTTGTCCATGGAGCTAAAGTTGCAAAGCCTCAAAGAGAAGCTGCTGTTGACCCCGTGCCTGCTCAGCTCAGAGAGCCCTGGGGGAAAGAGCCTCTCTCCTCCTGTTGTCACTTCCTTTCCAACACTTTTAGGTTAGAGAAACACTCTAGCTTTTAGGGTAGAGAAAATAAGAAAAACCAGGCCCTTTGAGGCAGTATGAGCTTGCCTGGCATTGATTTCTGAGTATATAGCAAATCCTCTCTCATTTGTTTTCCTGTGGAAAATACACAATTAAAGACACACTGAGTTTGAGCCAGGTGGTGGTGGTACACACCTTTAATCCCAGCACTCAGGAGGCAGAGGCAGGCGGATCTCTGTGAGTTGGAAGTCAGCCTGGTCTACAGAGTGAGTTCCCAGACAGCCAGGGATACACAGGGAAACCCTGCCTCGAAAAACCAAACCAAACTGAACCAACCAACCAAACAAACAAAAATAAACAGAACACACACTGCATTTTACTGGAAAATGTCTTTTTGTGTGTGTAAGAAATCCCTGACAGACACTGAGAGAGCTAGAAACATGGGGTGATGGAGATCTAAATTATCCCTCTGTCTATAGTGGGAGTTCCAGGACCACCAGGGCTACACAGAGAAATCCTGTCTCTAAAACAATCAGAAAATAATCCCACCATGTGAGTCTTACTAGGAGCCATTTGGCTACGTGGTTGGAAAGGAGAGGCTTTGCTTCCTACGCTTGCCTTGCTGAGACTGCCTCCTAGAGACAGGAAACTCTAGGAAAGTTTGGGGATGAACTCTGAGGTCAAAAAGCATCTTGGGCAGTGTCAGATGTGTGTGCTAATGCTGTGCCCTTTGTGGTCAGCTTTAGGGCGGAAGTGATCACGTGACTAGTACATCATTGAAAGGCCCCACTGTGGTAGCCGACTCTCCCCTTGACCATCACCCACCCCACCAACCCTACTCTCTGCCTATCTGGAACTACTTGGTTGTAAACGGCATGCTTGTCCAAGCTCAACAGCTTTATACGGGTGCCTCTCTTGGCTTTAAGTAAAGTTCCATAGCCGTTTTAATGTCACGACTCACACAAATAAGGATAATACCCTTGACCTGGTGGTAGCAGTGGTGGCGCACGACTTTAATTCCAGCACTTGGGAGGCAGAGGCAGGTGGATCTGTGAGTTCGAGGCCAGCCTGGTCTACAGAGTGAGTTCCTGGACAGTCGGGGATACACAGAGAAACCCTGCCTTGAAAAACTAAAAAGAAAAAAACTTAAAAATCTGCATCTGAAGAAAAGGCTAAGTAGGAAGGACTCACGTTGGGCTCCCAGAACTGTACCCGTATGGAGTGGTTCACAACCACACTCCAGTTTCAGGGACTCAGCGCCCTCTTCTGGTCTATACATGCACTGCACTTATGCGCACATACCCCCCCACACGCATGCACAAACATAATTAAAAGTAAATATTTATGCTGGGTGGTGATGGCACATGCCCTTAATATCCCAGCACTTGGGAGGCAGAAGCAGGCAGATCTCTGTGAGTTCGGGGCCAGCCTGGTCTACCAAGAGAGTTCCAGGACAGCCAGGACTCTTACACAGAGAAACTCTGTCTCAAAAAATCAAAAACAAAAAACTTATAAAAATGAAAATGAATGGCTTCTATGTGAATCTGGACAGTTGAGCAGATGCAAAAAAATCAGTAGCAGTCTCCTTCAGCAGTGTGGGGAAAAGGGGAGGATGTTGGGAACCAAGCTTGGAGAAGAAGACATGAGAAGTAACGATGAGTTCCAACACACTGGGATGGAAGGGGTAAAGGAGTTTGCTGATGGTCTCGATGAGGGTGTAAGGTAAAGCATGGTCAAAACTAGCTCATGCGGTCAGACCACCAACCACAGGGAAAGCAGGTTCGTTGTCTAAAGTGTGGAAGGCTCAGAGAGGAGAGCAGCATACTTATGGATTTTGTTTTGTTAATATTAAGTCTCTAATTAGACAATCTAAGAGTTCAGTAAGCAAATGGATGTACGGAGATCAGGGATAAAGATCTAATTACACATAGTACTTAAACACACAAGATAACATCACATAGCAAAAGCCTGTAATAGAGAAGCTGTCTCGAGACAAAGCCTGGGGTCATTCCAACATTTAGAACCTGAGAAAAAGAAATGGAGGAGGGGGACTGCAGAGATGGCTCAGTGGTTAAGAGCAATGGCAGCTCTTTTTTTTTCTTTTTTTTTAAATTTATTTATTTATTAAGGATTTCTGCCTCCTCCCTGCAACCGCTTCCCATTTCCCTCCCCCTCCCCCGATCAAGTCCCCCTCCCTCATCTGCTCGAAGAGCAATCAGGGTTCCCTGACCTGTGGCAGCTCTTTTTTTTTAAAGATTTATTTATTTATTTATCTATTTATTTATTATGTATACACTGTTCTGTCCATATGCATGTCTGCAGACCAGACCAGAAGAGGGCACCAGATTTCATTATGGATGATTATGAGCCACCATGTGGTTGCTGGGAATTGAACTCAGGACCTCTGGAAGAGCAGCCAGTGCTCTTAACCTCTGAGCCATCTCTCAGCCCGCAATGGGAGCTCTTCCAGAGGTTCTGAGTTCAGTTCCCAGCACCCACATAATGACTCACTGCTTCTAGAATGGGATCTGATGCCCTCTTCTGGCATGCAGGTGTACCTGCGGCAGAGTACCATAGGCACATCAAAGAAATAAATATTAAAAGAAGAAATGGAGGAGGAATAGGAAGAGAAAAAGGGAAAGGGGAAGAAGAAGAGGAGGAAGTAAAAACACACATGGGGCTAAGGAAGAGCAGCAGTTGAGACAGAAGACACACTCGGAGAGAGTCATGACTTAGAAGTCAATACGAGGCAGTGTCTCAAGAACGAAGGATGGAAGTGTGACTGGAGAGATGGCTTGGCAGGTAAGAGCACTGGCTGCTCCTGCAGAAGCCCCAGGTTTGCTTCCCAGTATTAATGTAGCAGCCCATAGCCCTCTGACTCCAGATTCGCTGGATCCAGTGCCCTTCATGACCTCTACAAACACTGCATGCATGTGGTGCACCTGCAGACACGCAGGATAAACACTCACACACAGAACCAAGATTGTTAGGGCGAAAACGACAGCAACAAATGTTAGTGGTGCCTTGGAGAAATTAGAAGGTTAATGCATTGTTTGGTGGGCATGTAAGTGGTACAGCCACTTTGTAAGACATTTTGATATTTTTTTTTTCAAATCTAGAAGTATCCTAAGATCCGGCGCCCTCGGGGGCCAGGGAGATGGCTCAGAGGTGAAGGACACTGGCTGCTCTTCCAGAGGACCTGAGTTCCATTTCCAGCAACCACATGATGGCTCACAAGCATCTGTAATGAGATCTGGTGCCCCCTTCTGCCATGCAGGCATACAGGCCGGCAGAACACTGTATGCATAATTAATAAAAAAAAATCTGGCACCCCCTTCTGGCCTCTGAGGGACCCAGGCACACAAGTGGGGCGCACACACTTAGACAACACACACACACACACACACACACATACACACACACACCCCACACCGCTTTTAAGAAGAAGCTTGTTCGGAAGACTGATTTTACCTCTGGGACTCAGTGAGGAAGCTTTGATCCTTGGTGACTCATTCATGTGTCTCCAGCACCTTCTGTTGTCCTTAGAGCGGCTCTGGCTGGCGGTCGCTGTGGGTGAAGCTTGTGGACTAAGGGAGAGTTTGAAAGTCTTGTTTTTTCAGGAAGAAGTTCACGTGGATGGACGGCAGCTCACGTCCAACTCTCACGCGCACCTGATTTCATTGCCAACATTACTGAGAGCCGCAGCTCCCAGTTATTAGACATTAACACAGCCCTAGCCGTGAAGGACAGCCTCCTGGATGGGGGTCTTTACTGAACCTGCCTGGCTGGTTCCCTCCCAGTTATTAGACATTAACACAGCCCTAGCCGGGAAGGACAGCCTCCTGGGTGGGGGTCTTTACTGAACCTGCCTGGCTGGTTCCCTCTGGGAGAGTCAGCGAGGCACCAGTGTGCGCCGAGCATTGGCCCAGCTGGGTTTAGTGAGAACCCTCCCCTGCAGATTTGGGGTTCTGTCACTTCCCGCACAAGACAGCCACTGACGCAGATTCGCTGTTTGCACGGGTGGAAGGGGTCCAGTGAAACTGGCTTTCAGAAAAGTGGGGACAGAAGAGACCTGCGGCCAGAGAGTGAAATAGGAGAGAGCGGGAAGGAGGGAATGAGGGGGGGAGGCAGAGAAGGAGGGGAAGCAGAGAGGGGAGAGAGAGAAAGAGATCTCCCCGGCTCTACGTCCTTGTCTTTCATTGTTGTCTTTGTTAGTAAAATGTTTCTGTCACTGTCCACGCGTCCCCGGTGGTCTTCTGGCTGCAGAGCACCAGCACCTGGAAATGCCAGCATCTGCCCTCTGGCCGCACCACCCAGCGGTCGGCACAGGAGCCAGCGGCGGCGTGGTCGGTGACGTCAGGGGCCGGGCGGGACCTGTCCCGGAAGCGGGTGCCGAGGACTGAAGAACTGGGAGATGGAGGCACCCGCGGTGCTGCTGGTGATGGGTGTGAGCGGCTCCGGGAAGTAGGTCGCTGAGGCCGCAGGCGGGCGGGAACTGGGAGGCGGTTGGGCGCCCTGAGCCCTGGGAGTCCTGCCTTTGCCGCCCCTGCTGAAGTCCCCTGCTCTCCTGCCTCGCTAGCCGCTCCCCAGGGTCACCACGGATGAAAGCCGAGGAATGAAGGTCGGGCGTAGGGAGGCTGCTGGAGTACAGAGCGGAAAGTTGTTACGGGAAAGACGCAGTCCGCCACAGCTTTTAGCTCCAGCCTTACAAACCTGGACCTCAGGCATCTTGCCGAGAAAGTGGGAGGGTGCAAAGTCCCAAACCAAGAGGTGAACCTTGTCCTGGGTCTGTAAAGCTCTATCTGGTTGGGCAGATGGTTCCCCTCCTGGGTGAGTTTCCGGATTTTTCTGAATAGACATTGAAAAGTGAAGATCACCCTGCAAGGTATCGTCTTCCTTGATCGTGTTCCTGTTCATATGGAACGTACCCAGGACTCTGCAAACTATGCAGTTTCTTCCCAGCCCGGTGCAGCCAGCTTAGAAGTAAGCCAGAAGTAGGCATTTCGTTTGATAGACACCGCACTGCACCGATATAACCCAAAGACACCAAACTGCAACACGCAACTACAGGCAACAAAATAGATGTTAACTGGTGAACCAGAGGTTCGTAGTCACACGTTGGGGCGCCCTCTGACCTTCAGTCAAGGTGGGGCGACCCACTTCTGTGGGCCCCCACACCAGAGTCTTTTAAGGGTTACAGTGTCCTATCAGGAACTTTCCAAACGGTAAGGTAAGGTAGGTCTTTAAAATGAAAATTTTATTTTTATTGCGTGTATGTGTTTGGGCCCGCACCTGCACACACACGAGTGCAGATGCCCGCAGACGCATCTTCTCCTCTGCAGCTGGGCTCCAGGTCGGTCCTGGGAACTGATCTCAAGCGCTCTGAAAGAGCAGGATGCGCTCTTAACCAGCGAGACATCTCTCCAGCCCCAGAAGGTAGCTTTAGGCTTCCAAAACTTTTATCCCCACAGCAGGCGTTCTAATTTATTAATTATTTAGCAGTATTTAATTTGAGCTAGGATTTTTTGATATGCAACCGAGGCTGGCCTTTCAAAAGCAGCGATCTGCCTCAGTTTTCTAGGTGCTGAGATCACAGGTCAAGCCCTGCATCCAGTCCCAGCAGCCACAAAACAGAACTCACTGAGCCTGAAAACCCCTGCTGTTGTATAATTGGGAAACCCGTTCTCTCTGTTCATTTCCCCTTCCCCTTTAGAGACCCTTTCTCTCACGCCCAGAACAGCACCTATCCCATAATAAGCGCTGATTGTCCTTGTCATGGAGACTGGAAGGATGAGCCTGAGGACATTAGCGGTGGTGCTGTTTTCCTTTATTTTACATTGTAGCAAAGCCATCTCAGCTTCTGCTAGAATAAACTTAAATCTGGATTTCTTCAGTCCTTCCCTCTCCCCAACTGTCTTCTAAAGTGACTTTTAGCCCAACCTGCTGGGAGAGAGACATCTGGACACTGAAGTTGGGTTGTAAGCTTAAATCCAGTCATTGCTTATGAGCCCCATGCTGCACCTTGTTCCTGCCGTCCTCCATAGTCCCTTGTGCGTGAACGGGCATCCGGGTCCTCTAGTTTAGATCTGGATGGAGCAGACACGATGGATTTTTCCTTTCATAACTTAGCTCTTCTTTTAGACTAGAGTTGGTGGCTAATGTTTATTCATAGTTAATCTAGGTTGATTGTAAGTAACTTTTTTTCTGTGCAGAACTCTGGTTTGGCCAGGTGTGGTGGCACTTACCTTTAATCCCAGTACATCATAGTGGTCTCATCTTTGTCTTTTGGGAACTACTAGGTGACACATTCAATAAAAATTGAATTGTGACTGGAAAGGTAGCTCGGTGCTTGCTTAAGAGGACTGGCTGCTCTTGTAGAAGACCTGGGTTCAAACCCTAGCACTCACATGGTGGCTCATGAGGGTCTGTAACCAAGTTCCAGACTCTCTTCTGACCTCCATGGGCACTGCACACATGTGGTACACTGTAGCATGAATCTAAATGGTCTTAATGGTAAAAACCTGGGGTCAGATATTAGGGGGTGAAGGCTGAAAGATCAGAGAAGCAGAACAGCCAGCCATTAGTTCTTACCTCTTCTAAATCTTCAGACCAAATGGGATGTCCTGTCTCTACAAGTCCTCAGACTGGATCCTGAGCTCCTGCCTTCTATTCCTCTCTCTGCCCAGCCATATCCCTTCCTGTCTCCACCTCCTTAGTGCTGAGATTAAAGGTGTGAGCCACCACCACTTGGTTCTGTTTCTCTTTTAGACTACTTCAATCTCATTGTAGCCCAACCTTGAACTCATAGAGATCCTTCTGCCTCTGTCTCTGGAGTGCTGGGATTAAAGGAGTGTGCCACTATTGCCTGCCCTCTGTGGCTAACTAGTGTGGCTAGCTCCACACTCTGATCCTCAGGCGGGCTTTATTTGTTAAAGCACAAACAATATCACCATGGTGCACTAACTTAAATGGAAACACAATATCACCACAGCATACTAACTTACATGAAAACACAATATCACCACAGTGCACTAACTTAAATGGAAACACAGTATCACCACAACACACTAACTTACATGAAAACAAAATACTCCTATGCATAAAATAAATTTCTTTTAATTGGCCGAAGAAACTAGAGGCGAATAGACACCTTGTGTGGTTCCGTTCCCCTGCACAAACTGAGGACTTGAGAAACCCAGTTAGCTATGGGGATAATCATTTAATGACAGAAAGAGGACTGGGGCCCCATCTCTCCCTCACATGCTATGTGGGACACCCTATCTTAACCATTGGCCTTGACCATTCTTGAGTTCCTGACCTTGTCTTTTAGGTCTGTCCTTTATGTGTATGGATTGTTGTTTTATTATTATTTTTGCCTGCCTGTATGAGTACCACTTGGGTGCAGTGTACGAGGGAGCCAGAAGAGGGCACCAGATCCCCTGCAACTGGAGTTGAAGATGGTTATGAACTGCCATGTGGAGGTGGGAACCGAACCCAGGGCCGCTGGAAGAGCGGCCAGTGCTCTAACTGATGAGCCACCTCTCCGGCCCCTTCTGTGTATCTAGTAAACTAGCAATGCTTTGATGCATTTATTTTTATTTTTTAAATCTTTATTTATTTATTATGCATACAATATTCTGTCTGTGTGTGTCTGCAGGCCAGAAGAGGGCACCAGACCTCATTACAGATGGTTGTGAGCCACCATGTGGTTGCCGGGAATTGAACTCAGGACCTTTGGAAGAGCAGGCAATTCTCTTAACCACTGAGCCATCTCTCCAGCCCACTTTGATGCATTTATAGGCCCCCAAACGTTACACAGTTCTGCAGGAGATTAAATTTTATTAGACTCCCCGCTCACTCGGTGTATCAAATACACTTCAGGACAGACCCCGAGTAGTTGGCCAACACAAAACAAAATAGTATTTTTTTTTAAATAAATAAATTAAAAAACTGCCTTGGCCTGTTGATAGGCAGAGTAGGACTAGGCAGGGAGAACTATACTGAAAACTAGAAGAAAGAAGGCAGAGTCAGGAGAAACCACGTAGCTCCGCCAGAGACAGACTCTGGACAGAATCTTGCTGGTTAGCCATAGCCACGTGGACACACATAGATTAATGGAGATGGGTCCATTTAAAATTTAAGAGTTAGCCAGAAATACGCTTAAGCTATTGGCCAAACAGTATTGCAAATAATAGTTTCTACGTGGTTATTTCGGGGCTGAGCAGCCAGGAACAAACAAGCAGCCTCCTACTACAGGGCAGAAATGGAGACATCTCTGTTCTTTCCACAGATCTACCGTGGGCACACTGCTGGCCTCCAAGGTAACGTCTCTCATCCATTGTGCTCTTGTCCACTGCTTCCTCCCTTTCTTATGACCTATGGTTTGATGCCTTTGCATGGCAATCCAGGTTTCTTCTTGATAATGGTAAGTGAGAGGGGCAGCCTCAGACCAGTGGTTCTTCTTCCCTCCTTCCTTCAAGATTTATTTAATTTTATGTATATGGGTGCTCTATCTGCATGTACACCTGCACACCAGAAGAGGGCATCCAATCTCACTACAGATGGTTGCGAGCCACCATGTGGTTGCTGGGAATTGAACTCAGGACCTCTGGAAGAGCAGCCAGTGCTTGTAACCTCTAAGCCATCTCTCCAGCCCCCAGACCAGTGATTTCTATACCTCCCTGTCAGTACGCTCCTGGTGACTGTCCCATGGGCCTTGCTGATGCTATATATACTTTTTCCTTCCTTCCTAAAGCTGGGATGGAAATTCTATGATGCCGATGATTACCACTCTGAAGAGAATCGGATGAAGATGGGGAGAGGGGTACCGCTGAGCGACCAGGTAACGTTGGCTATGGGCGTCCAGGATCTCTGTATCATGCCTCCTTCTTTATTAGCCCGGAGCCTGGACTTTCCCATGGACTCAGCCCCAGGAATGAGCTACCTTCTGCCCTATCTCGTGCACAGCCAGCCACAGTTTGTTGCAGGATTTTAATCTCTAATCCCCAAGTGGGCTCCGTTTCAGCACCCACATGGCAGCTCACAGCTGCCTGTAGGTAACTCCAGTTCCAGGGGATTCCCCTGCCCTCTTCTAGCTCCTGTGGGCACTGCATGCCCTGAGCACGCTTATATACACACAGGCAAAATACTCACATAAAACAAAATCATACTTAAAGAAATATATCCAAAAGTTAAAATTAAAAAGCCCAATAAGGGGCTGGAGAGATGGCTCAGTGGTTAAGAGCACTGACTTCTCTTCCAGAGGACCCGGGTTCAATTCCCAGCACCCACATGGCAGCTTACAACTGTCTGAAGATCCAGTTGCAGGGGATCTGATACCTTCATACCAATGCACATAAAATAAAGTTAAATAAACAAAAAAATATTTTAAAAAAGCTTAATAATACCATCATCTTGTCCATTCCCATCAGTGCTTGAATGTGGTAGGAAACCCTGGCTAACCAAGGCACTACAAGAGACAATTTGAAAGACCAAGTTCAAGTGGTACATTAAGAAGTTAACTCAGTGGGGCAGTGGTGGCACACACCTTTAACCCCAGCACTTCAGAGGCAGAGGCAGGATCTCTGAGTTCAAGGCCAGCCTGCTCTACAGAGCCAGGCTACAGAGAAACCCTGTTGGGGTGGTCAATTCAAGCAAGGGCTGGGGAAGAAAGCTGCAGCCGCACCTAGCTGCAGGTTCTGATCAGGTTTACCGGGAGGATATATTAGCTATGGTAAGAGGTGTGTGACCATCACAGCCAGGGGAGACAGTCACACAGCGGGGAGGCTGTGGGAGGTTTAAAGGATGTACCTTAAGGGGACTTACACTACTATGAAAGAGCCATTGACACCAGAGCCAAGGAATGGTTTTTGTGGGTATAGGGCCTTGGGCATGGCCCTCAGCCTGGCCATGCCCAGTTCCCACAACCACTAAGATCTCTCTGGAACTAACATTTGCAACTATGGTTCTATTGTTTCTTACCTGGGAAAGCTTCTAATTCTTGTTCTAATTTCAGGACAGGATTCCATGGCTCTGCAGCTTGCACGACATATTAGTAAGGTAAGAAATCATCTGGCCCCGGTATAATCCAGTGAGTTAAAACATCACTTCTGAAATTACAACTGGCTGCACCCATCAAGGTAGAGCCAAAGACGTGGGTAAACCAGGTCCTCAGTCAGCTCTGCCCTCCGAACAGCTCAGAAGGGGCCATTTAACAAGGAACTGAGGATGCCTGGAACCCAAGATCATTCAGATCACTGGTGAAACCTCCACCTAAGGCTGAGCGCACTCAGGGCTCCATTTCCAAGTAACACTTTGCATTGGCAGAGGCTACTCCGCCACTTAGAATTGACACAAAGTCAATTTCTGCAGCCCTCATCTCTTTTTTTCTCTCTGGGTGTGGGGTGCATCTTGTTCCTTATATTTTGGAAACAGAGAGGTGGCCTTGGGACAGCATGTCGTTCTAGCCTGTTCAGCCCTGAAGAGAAAGTACAGAGACATCTTGATACAGGGAAGAAGTGATGGGCCCCTGAAAAGCGACGGGTCCGCAGAGGAAAGGCTGGCCGGCCAACAGCTCTTGGTGGTCTATCTCAGCGGCTCGTTTGAGATCATTTCCAGACGCCTGTCCCAACGAAAAGGACATTTTATGCCGCCCGAGTTACTGCAGTCCCAGTTCAGTATTCTGGAGCCTCCATCAGCTCCTGAACACTTCATCCAGGTCAGCGTGGACCAAAGTCTCTCAGAGATCGCCGATGCCGTTCTGGAAGCTCTGCCAATGAAGTAATCATTCCACACCTGCGGGGTAAGCGCACTCTAGTTCAAGGTCCTCCTCGCCAGTGTATTCTAAGTTCCTAATTGAGAGCAAACTGCGGTATGTGGAGAGCACCGTTTGCCTGTATGGACTCAGTGTGCAGTTGTCCCGCAGGTGCCCTCCAGGTGTCCCGCAGGTGTCCTGCAGGTGTGCCAGGAGGAGGGGAAAGGATGGTAAAACTTAAGCTTAAACTTAAATCGTGTATAATGGAACCAGATGGTCAGTGGAAATTGTGCAATCAATGCTAGAAACCACTCCCGTTTGAAAGAACAATGCCTTGTGCTTGTGCCTGCACAAATGGATGAAATATGCTACCCTGGAGGCCAGCTGGAATTGGTTTCAGCAATAGAAACCTGAATCAAAGCAGCCACTGACTGCAGGCATTTCACACCATACTGCCATTGGTTTTCAAACAGGGTGTCGCTGTGTAACAGCTCTAGCTGTCCTGGAATTCACTCTGCAGAGCATCCTGAAGCCCAGAGATCCGCTTGCTTCTGCCTCCCCAGTGCTGGGATTAAAGGCGTGCATTACCATAACCGGCTTCATCTTCATACATATGTCATTATGTTCTATAATCTGCCATTATGCTTTGCTTTAATTCATCCCCCTTCACAGCCTTCCCCTGCCCTTGTCCCCTGTTCCTCCCTGGCAGGTGACAAGGGCACCTTTGCCCAGGTGACCACCTTCCTGCATTCATGGTTTCTCAGTCTTTCTTAAGATCTCTTCCTGCCTGCTTGGTATACACATCATATATGTATATAAAACTTTAAGTTCAGGTCCTGCTTGGGAGAGAATTGGGCCTTTTTACAACTATATAGAATTCCATTATGTACGTACATCACACTTAAAGCTTTTTTTTTTTTTAAAGCTGTGTAAGACACGTACACCAGGCTGGTCTAGAACTCACAGAAATCTGCCTGCCTCCTGAGTGCTGAAATTAAAGGCGCACACACAACCGCCTGGCATACCCCATTTTCTTCTTTTTTTTTTCTTCAATATTTATTATGTATACAATATTCTGTCTGTGTATGCCTGTAGGCCAGAAGAGGGCACCAGATCTCATTACAGATGGTTGTGAGCCACCATGTGGTTGCTGGGAATTTAACTCAAGACCTTTGGTAGAGCAGGCAATGCCCTTAACCTCTGAGCCATCTCTCCAGCCCCCCCATTTTCTTTAACTGTTTATTTTTTGAGTCAGTGTCTATGTAGTCCTGGCTATCTTGGAGCCCCCTACATCGACCAGGCTGACCTCAAACCCAGAGAGTTGAGAGTAAAGGTGTGTGCAACCATACCCACGAGGGATCTTTTCAGTCGAGAGGATGGGGAGGACCTATCCTATCAGAGCTACTAGGTCCTGACCTCTCTCAGGGTTCAGAATAGAACTTCTATGACAAGCGAAGACTGGGCTTGGAAAATGGACCCGAGGGGTAAAACAAACTGACTTAGGCATGTTTTTCCTGAAAGTTTTTTTTTTTTTTCCTGAAAGTTTCTTTATTCCTTGGGGGAAGATGAGAATAAGGGCATAAGGGCAAGATGTAAGGGATAAGGGGAAGGGAAAAGAAGCAGCGTAGGGGTATAAGGTATAAAAAAAGTAAGAGTAAGGAGTGATCCACAAAGCTTTCAGTTTACATAGGCAGACAGACACATTAACAGTCCCATAGGTGGTAACAATAGTATCAAGCAGCCGGGCGGTGGTGGCACACGCCTTTAATCTCAGCACTCCGGAGGCAGAGACAGGCGGATCTTTGGGAGTTCGAGGCCAGCCTGTTCTATAAGAGCTAGTTCTGGGACGGGCACCAAAGCTACAGAGAAACCCTGTCTCGAAGGGGCTGGAGAGATGGCTCAGAGGTTAAGAGCATTGCCTGCTCTACCAAAGGTCCTGAGTTCAATTCCCGGCAACCACATGGTGGCTCACAACCATCTGTAATGGGGTCTGGTGCCCTCTTCTGGCCTGCAGGCATACACACAGACAGAATATTGTATACATAATAAATAAATAAATATTTAAAAAAAAAGAAAAAAAACATTTAAAAAAAGAAACCCTCGAAAAACCAAAAAAAAAAAAATAGTATCAAGCATGCATTTTCATGGTCATGAGACTGGTGGATCTGGCAAGCAGGCACCTTATGTCTCAGCAGGGGTGTGGTTGTGAAGCTCCCCTGGTAGCTACTGGCCTGTGGGCTTGATTTGCATCAGCACCTAGCTGGTTGACTTTAAAGGAATATCTTCTGGGGGCCCTGCTTAACTCCAGCAGGGTGCCCAGGTGAGAATTTTCCTTTTCGACTCAGGCCTTTTTCCTGTATAGTTAATCTCCTGGGCTATGGTCCTGTTAGTTGAAACCAAAGTAATGGGTAATACAGAATGTTAAGTCAGAGCAGACCAGGAGATTACAGCTTCTGAGTCTCCTCTCTTCAGTGAGTGCTGTCAATAAAGAAAGCTCATAGCGGATTATTTTTATGTAGATTTTGGCTGTGAGAACAAGGACTGGATCCTTTTCACGCCATGGCTTCATGGTGTGGGGGGAGGGATCCGGTTGCCCTACAGGAAAAATCAGGTTTATCCACTGATACACTTCTGGGATACTACAGAAGGGAGAAATGCCATGATTTCATAAGATTTTTACAGAACTGACTTATCCCAAGGACAGATGTTCCCGCAGCTTTGCAGAAACGGGTTCTCCAGGTGGAGTGGACATATACACTCACTGTGGATAGTGCAGCACCTGGGGGCTCCCCACCCCAACGTGGGCTCTCCAGCCCATGGACTTGGGTCCCACTCTAAATATAAAGCGCTTGCGTTGAGCAGCAGACTCCACTCCATGCTTTCTGACTGAATGCAAGTCACCAGTCACTACAGGCTCAAGCCGCCATGCTGCCCTCGCCCACCAACTGTGAAGCCACGTGAGCCTACCCTGATTTCCCCAAGGTGCCAGGTGCTTGGTCACAGCAGCAAGGAGAGCAACCGAACTTGGCACTCCTGTGGCCTTTCTGCTCTGCCTCTTTGCCAAGTTATTTGGGACATGTCCTCCCTGGTGTCAGAACATGGTCCAATGAGGCCAGGCATGGTGATGCTCACCTTTAATCTCAGCAGACCAGGGGCAGCTGAATCTCTTGTTAGTTCAAGGCCAGTCTTGCCTACTTACTCAGTTCCAGGCTAGCCAGAGCTACAGTGAGACCTTGTCTCAAAATAGAACAACAAACAAACTGGGCAGGGGTTTCTCAGTGTAGTTTTGGTGCCTGTTCTAGAATTAGCTCTTGTAGACCAGGCTGGCATTGAACTCCGCCTGCTTATACCTCCCAAAGGCGTGCACCACCACTGCCTGGCAAATTAAGCTATCTGTGTATTGCAATGAGGCTGTGGTTTACTGGAAAGGTGCTGGGGGGAGGGGAGGCATAAGCAGCTACATCATGTCTGCCTGACTCCACCTTCTCCTGCCTAGCTTTATTCTGGCTGTCCAAGCTGGAACTGCCCTACCCAGAAAAGACCACACTTCTGATAGGCCTTAAACCTGACTAGCAGGGAACCTTTGGAGACTCGTCCCCCCTTATATGTCAGAGTGAGATACAGTCAGCCACCATCCTGAGAGGTTATTAGTTCAATTCACAGCAACCACATGGTGGTTCACAACCGTCTACAAAGAGATCCAATACCATCTTGTGGCGTGCAAACATACAGGCAGAACACTGTATAATAATAAATAAATGATAAATAAATAATAAAAAAAAAGAACGACTTAGAGGAAGAAAAGGTCCTGACCCACCAGTGAGGGAAGTCCAGACGGGAATCTGGAGGAAGACCTGTCAGCTGCTCCACACAGTGTTGGTGCTGACCGAGGATGTGCAGCAGAAACCCTGGGGAGACGCTGCTGGCCCACTCAGGCTGCAGGACCACCTGCGAAAGTGGTTGACTCCCAAAGGTCTCGCCCCACAGGCTAAGTACCGGTGTCCTGGAGGAGCCTGGACTCACCGAGTAATTACTCAGTCAGATGTTCTTTGATCTCTGTCCCTCAACTATAGCAGTAAAATGCAAGTCTGTCTTCTACTGACAGAAGTGGTTGAGCACTGTGTTCCAGCCTCTCACCGTGTCTACATCTGGCCCTCCCACTTTCTATGCCTTTGTGGCTGTCTCCATGGCAACCGAATGGCAGGGAGTCCCCAAGATCCCTGGGAGTGGCATTCTCGTGCAAGGCGTAAGGGAACGTCTGAGCAGACACTTAACTATCTTGGGAGTGGTGTCATTCTCGTGTCCCGTCAAGAGTGCATATTAATGAGTTAGAGGGTTGGACTCCCCCCACCCCCATGTGTTTATGTGTGGTGAACATGCTTGTCAGCGTGGGAATGTGTATCTGTAAGCTTGTGTGAAGAGACCGACACAAATGTCCTATTTCTTTCCCTGGTCACAGCTTCCTTTGCTTGCTTGTTGTGACAGTTCTGAACCTGGAATTCACTGATAAGGCTAAAGGCTAGTCTGACAGTCTCCACACTCCCAGGCCTGGAATCACAGACCTGAACTCAGGTCCTCGTGCTTGTGCGGCAGCCACCTGAGCAACCAAGCCATCTCCTCAGCCTGTATCTGCCAATCATGACAGCAAACCAAGGGTCCAGAGAAAACAGGGTGGAAGTAGAGGAGTGTTAGCAAGTGGCACTCAGGTTGAGAGGCCACGGCCCTGGGACTGGCTAGTTCTAGGATCATTCCCGAGACTGAGATCAAGGACAACCGGTGTGTGTGTGGGGGGGGGGGGGGGACATGCAGGAGGTCCTTCCACTCCTCCAGCCAATAGCTGCTGAGATACCAGCCCATTGGGGCGTGGTCTCTCTCCCTTTAAAAGTGAACTAAAAGTCACAAAGAAAAACAAGGCGTAAGGCTAAAAGTGAAGCATTCTGATGAAGTCCTGAGAGAGTGGACCCATCAGTGTTTGTGAACACAGGCTGCTCGGCAGTATGCTGCTTGTGAAACAGCCAATGACTGATCACAACTCCAAACTGAAAGGAACTCTGAATACTCAAAGGCCGACTGTAGACACTTTAAAATAGAAATGGCATTAATGTTTTAAAGATGTGTGGCAAAACATCTACAATGGATTCACGGAAAATGTGAATACTGAGGCTGTTTTAGACAATAGCAACAAGTGAGACTCCAGGTGTTCATTCCTTTCATTCACGCAGGCTGCGGTAAAAAATGGCTCTAACTGTGATGAAGACAATGTGCACAACACAGCAAAACTGCCTCTAGACAGCACCCGCAACCACATGATGGGCTGACTGAAGGGCTAGGCTGTGTGCATTCATCCCAGAAGTCAAGTTAGGTATCAAACAGAGACTTCTGGGATACCACCCCCGCCCCAAAAAAAGGAAAAAAAGTTGTTAATGTGGCAGAGCACTCTGGAAGAAACATTTGAAAACACCAGTCAGTCATACATTCCCACACATCTCCAGGAGACCCACTTCCCAGTTCCTGGGCTGCCTTTGAGGTTTCTCACCTGAATAACAATACAAGGAACTTTAAGCGTTTAATCAGAAGCAGTACTGCAGCTGAAAGCAGAGAGTTTGCTGTTGATCTGGGGATTCTGGCCTGGGGGTGTGGTTTTCTCCCACTGTATTGCTGTGTCTGTCACATTTCCACAAATTATGTGTGACTGGGTGTAAGGAAATGGCTGTTCATTGGTGGCATATATATTCAGCCAGTTATGGTGATGTCAAACAGCCAGACTGTCCATATAGGGAGGAGAGATAGTGACACACTTGTTTTCTGGTGAGCCAGTGGATACAAACTGTTCCATCCACAAAGTGATTTAAAATACCGTGTATAAGGTGTACATAAAACAATGGATTTTCTATCTAGTCTTGGGGCACACTCCTTAGGTATCTCAGTAGCACATCTACTCTAAAACCCAAAACAACGGAAACTTCTGGCTCAGAGCATTTCCGACAGATGATTTCAACACAATGTGACGTCGGCTGCTGTAGTGAACACTCCCACACACATTACCCGTGGACTTCAGGAGCAGGGTCAGTTCTTGGCACCCTTATAACACAAAACGCAGACAGATGAACTGTGTTCTGGGATGTTTCTGCTATCTTGTCCCATCACCCTGTAACGACGTCAATCTATCCCCATAGGCTGGTGATCACTGTGAGTTTAGGATAGCCAGAGGTACACGGTAAGGCCCTAGATAATAATAATCCCTTTCATTACTATGGTTAAACCAAACTTGAAATCCAAGAGTATTTTTTTCCTCTTTAGTCTTTTCATACACAGGATCTCACTGTATATCCAGACAGGCCTCAAACTTTGCATCTCCCCATTACAGACATGCACAACCCCACCTGGCTTGAGATTAGAAATCCTGAACACAGACAGACCAGCCATCACCTGCCTGACTATTTGCTATCAATTTTCCCCCCCTCTACTCTTTACTGAAACTGTTCTACAGAACTTGGTGTAAGAACAACCTCTGCCTGCACTCACTTCTCCTCTGCTCACACTGAAAGCATCTAACCTGCTGGTTGGCTCACTGTCCAACACTGTTCTTGCAGGACAGGGTGGCCCATGCTATTATAGTACTCGGGAGCCTTATTCAGGAGGAGGACCAGGTTCACTCAGTCTGGGGACACATACATACTGAATTTCCGAACAGCCGGTCTACAGAGTAAGACCCTCCTAAGAAATACCCAACTTTTCATAAAATTCAGGATAAATCACGCCAAATAGGCTTTTTATTAAGATGTGTTGAGAAAAAACAAAGACATCTTTCTACAAAAGAGGCAAGACAAACCAGTGTAAAAGCTGGAAATTTATTGTTATTTTGTGATTAATAAATCAAGCTGGCATGACACTGCCCCTCGTGTGGTGCCATTCACCAGTACAGAAGTCTTTAAACCAAACAGACCGAGGCATAAGGCAGAGAGCAGAGACACGAACACTATCCTTGCCAGCCTCCTCCAGCCCCGCCTCCACCCTGCCCTCTGCACATGCTTTCTGCTTGGGGAAAGTGTAACAACAGTGAGCAGTCTGGGGCAACCTGGTCTCCCAACCTTTTAATAGCAAGCAACTTAAACAAGTTATGAAATTCATCTTCTCTTTCCCTTGATTTTATTCGTCTGAACTCATCTGAGATTATTTCAACATTATAATTTTGGATAACTGTACAAGAGAATACAATGACCTAAGAGAATACTGAACCAGAGCCAGCCGCATATATCACTGACCCTAAAGCTGTATTTTAATTGGTCCCGAAGGAATGTATCACCTCAACAGTGTGAGAGTTAGGCAAACAGAATTTCTTTGGGGAGGAAGAAAGAGGCTATAGGATAGCCAAACTTACTCAAAATTGTTAAAACGGCTCTTTGTTTTCCACCAGACTGACACTACTATATGCATAGAATCTTCACAGAATCTTGGTTGCCAGTATTACTTAGTTCAGACTGGCCCAATCCAGAATAGATTCTGTCTCACCCCTCCCCCACCCCCTTCTCTGAGGCCCTGAACAGCACGACATTCAACTATTTCATAATAGAACTAGGCAAACACTTCAGAAACAAGTGGCTCACTAATCATTTTAAATCCAGGTACTGCCTATGAATGAGAAAGCTGATAAACCCAAAAGATAGCTCTACTTCTATATGGCAACTAAAACGGAGACATCAGCACTTTCAGTGAAAGCAGCATTTCAATCAAACACAGTGCTGCTTAGACACGCACGGGGGGCAGAAGCCCCGGCAAATGCACTGGAGTATGTTACAGTGCTCCTTCAGTCTGAACAAAATAAAGGTAATTTACAGCCATTATGTTAACGTTGAAATATTGTTACATTATATTGTCTGTACAATTAAATGTCCCTATAATGATAACCAGAATCAGTTTTCTTTATTGTCCACACACCTGACTAAATGGCACTTCTGCTGAGAGATGTTTATCAAAGATGCTGTAAGAGTCTACACAATTGAGAACCCTTATTTTACGTTTCTGGTTACAGGGATTTTGCTTAGACGACCTATAAATGTGCACTAGTTTGTACTGCACACACATAAGCAAACTGTCAGTAATATAAACCTTACAGCGTTGTTAGCAAAAGTACACGCCAAAGTCACAATTAGCAATACTGTACCACAAATCATGGAGCGCAATGATCTGCTTTGTAATGCCTTTATTCTACATAAATTACTACCATGGGGTTATGTTTAAAAAGCAAGTTAGTTGGACAGATGCAGGACAAAAATTTGTTCACCCAATTAGAAAAGGTGATATTTTAAAAAATTACAATGAATGCCAAGTGTTTGATGCATGCAGCAGCCTTAACTGAAAACATTGATTCCCACTGTTCCAAAGATACAGACACCCGCATATCCTACCGCACTCCACCTCAGATGCGTCCTATTGGTTTCCTTTATAACAGCACAGAATTCCAATGAAAAGCAGGTTATTTTAAAGATTTAAGAGCCGTTATCAAAAATAAATTACATTTTTTTCAGGATACAGAAATGCTGCTATGATGGCTGGGAGCCCAGTAACCTTTCAATGGCTGCATTGATATCGCCCCCTGTTGCTATCAGTGCTTGCAAGTTTGCTTCACGGTTCAAAAATCCCATGGCACTGAGCTGTTCCAGTTGTTGCTGGAATCTGACTTCTGGACTCTGCAGCTGTTGAAGAGAGCAGAGAAGCACACTCTAAGGAGAGGCAGTCTATGCTAACCCAACCACTGCTCAAACACATCAACTGCTTTTTAAACAACGAATGTTGGTCTGTCGAGCTCTCTTTAAATTGTTACCTGTGCCCTGAGATACATACACATATCTGGTTATTAAAGAGAATGAACTTACTTAACTAAAATATACAAGACCACCTACAATTATTTAGAAAGTGGACATTTTTAAGTGCTAGTCTATAATTTATCCTTACATATATATGTGCATATTTACTTCAAATGAGCAAAATATGATTTAAATAATTTAGCTATAATTTTAAATATCCATCATATTTAAAAGTTGTTTAGCGTTTTATCATGACAAATAGACTATATAATTCTGCCTTTAAAAAAAAAACTTAGACCGGGCGATGGTGGCGCATGCCTTTAATCCCAGCACTCGGGAGGCAGAGGCAGGCGGATCTCTGTGAGTTTGAGACCAGCCTGGTCTACAGAGCTAGTTCCAGGACAGGCTCCAAAGCCACAGAGAAACCCTATCTCGAAAAACCAACCCCCCCACCAAAAAAAAAAAAACCCAAAAAACTTAGAGACTGGAGGTGAGTGCTTGGGTCTTGGATTTGATTCCCTAGGCTCTCTTTCTCCCCATCTCCCACAAAGAGTAAAACTGGCTTAATAAATTCCCTGGCTTAATAAATCCCACCACTGTAGAGGCTTGTAAACAAGCAGGAACTCTTCTTAAAGCCCATGCCCAGACAGCTGATGCTTTCTTCTCTGCACTGACACTGAATGTGCCTGGTTGTAATCATGTGTTATAGTGCACCATGTGCATGCCTGATGCTCACAGATGTTAGAAGAGCCCTGAGACTAAAGTTACAGGTGCTGTGACCCACCATGTGGGTGCTGGGGATTGGATGTGGGTCCTCTGGAAGAACAGCCAGTGCTCTTAACCACTGAGCAAATCATTTCTTCAGGCCCCCTTACTGGTAAATTCTTAGTAAAGACAATACATGTTCATAGATGCAAGACTAAGGAGTCCACACACATTAAGTCACTACAGGAAGTGCTGGGGGAGGGGACAGGCTAGAATAGGAAGCCTAGATACAGTTGTTCTGAAATACTGACAATATTTTTACGTTTTCTCTGATAAATCTTTATAAAACCTATTTCAAATGACTTTGAGGAAAGTACTTCAAAACTTACATTTTATAAGGCTATTTCTAAATACTATGGCATTAGATTGAAGCATTCTTTTCTTTGGTGTCTGATATAGCAGCAAAAGTAACAATTTCTGTAATGCATGTCTTTAGATGTAACATCCTTGAATAGTACTTTTCATTATCTGAACACTAAATGGCTGCTGCTTTCTTTTTGCCTTTTTGGAAAATTCTATACTTAGGCTAGGCATGCAGAATCTGTAAAGAAAAGCATTGTCACCTGAGGATTCACCCCAGCAAGAGCTTGCAGCATTTGCTGGATGAACTGCTGGTGGCCTGGCTCGGTGGCGCCCCCTGTGGGGCTCGTGTTTTCATTAGGTGCAGAGCTAGGTGCATTGTTTCCTGATGAGCCTCCAGAATTGCCTGCTGCCCCCAAGCTAGGAGCAAACCTAGGGAGGGCACACACAAAGGGGGTGGAGTCAGTTACATCTGAACATGATACTGGCTAAGTTATTTTCTTAAAAGTAAGCAGATATATAACTTTGAAAACTGACTAAGAAATAACTCAACAGCCAAAATAAAATGCCAAATGATATTAATTCTCTAATTCTCACAGAAATGAACCATCCTGTGCTTTCGAATCTCTCCCAAATAAGCCTACCCTGGGATGAGGCCGGGGGCTTCTGTTGCCAATGTCTGCAAGCCCTGCTGGATCTGCAACAATGCCTGCATGGCTCTAGGGTTTGACATCGCTGACAGTGTGTCAGGGTTCTGCATCTAAGGAAGAAGGAAAAGCAGTGGTTACCAAAGCATTAAAAGCAAGGTAGGTACATTTTTCCAACTTGGCTATATTTTTGAAGAAAACCTAAAACCTTACTCCCAGATAGCTGTATATTTCTTCCCAAAATACACACAAACTCTCCTCTTTTGACAGCAAATTCCACACATAGGTCATTACTTGACTCAGTTGCAAGCCTACCATAAAGGACATTTTTCAGAATGAAGACAATTAAGAGCAATCCAAGAAGTCACATTTCCCCCTTCTCCAACAGAAAAAAAGAAAAAAAAAAGGAAAAATAACTATTTCTTAGCAACTCCAAATGTACAATGTATTGGATGGCGGCAATATGGTGGAAGCTGTGTGCATCTTCTGACCACACGCTGTCTGCTACTAATCTAACAATGCTGCCAGTCTGCCACCTCAGACAATTGCTCCAAAGTTGAACCAACAGTGTCCTGAGTATAGCTTCCTCACTTTCAGATACCCACGCCTAACTGACGAGAGGGCAATGAGCTCACTGCAGCAGACTGAGGACAACACTGACCGTTGACAACGACTGGCTGGACTAACCACCATTTCAGCCAGAGAGCAACCCTGAGAACTACCAGCTTCAAAAGCACCAACACCACTTTTATGTCTTGAAATAATACTGTGACAATCTTGGGCACTACCTTTTTTTTTAAACCTCCTTGCTGTGACAACAGATATTTTAACCTTCCTATTTCTGGCTCTGAGGACATGAGGTCTACTCCTTAGAGAACAAGCACTCTACTAATTCGGAAGAGACTGAGACACTACAACAAAACCCAACCTGTGATGTCAGAGAGGGCAGCTCACTCAGAACTAGTCCAAACTCTAGTGGATGTACCACACGGAAGCACTTCAAGGGGAGGAAAGGGGAAGAAATGGCCCATGATATTAAGGAAGCACTCTGCATCCTAAAACCTCACGGTCTAAGCACAGTCGGGAGCAACATGGGCTGGGAAGACAAGGCTCAGTGTCTGCATGTGTGCAGCACCAAGAGGCCTCTGCTCTGCGCCATCAGCAGGAAGGAGGACACGTTCATCATCAACCTCTCAAGCAGATCATTACAAAGACAGCAGCGTCTTTTCTTACTCACTTGTTGGAGGAAAGTTGGGAGCTGTTGTCTCATTTGTTCTTGAAGCTGAGGATTTCCAGCAAATAGGGGATTATTCAGCATCATCTATGGGGCAAGTGTTCAAACAATTTTAACTGGAAATATCTGAAACAAGTAATGTACCTGATTTAATATTCTACCTTCCTCCAAATGCCTAAATTGGCACTGAAAAGGGAGGAAGGGAGAACATAAATCAAAAAGGAGCAGGAAGTTCTATCCATAAGGATCTGGGGGAGGGGGGAGAGAAAGGAGGAAGGCAGGTAGGAAGGAAGGAAGGCAGGCAGCTTCTCTTTCACCAACAATGGTGGATGATGGATGTCATGTTGGGCCCTAAAAAATAAAAGCAATTGTTTTGTAGCCTTTTCCTTGAACAAAGGTAAACTTCTGCCTTGGGGGGGGGGGAGGATCTAGGAGTGCTGGATTCTCAGGAAGACAATGCTTTGGCTACACTACAGAATAAAAGAACATTAATATGTAAAAACTTAAATATGGCTTGCTCAGAAACCTCAACACACAAACAGCAAGCACAGAGAAATCAGATCTGGAGCCACTATTATGTACCTGCTTGCCACTACTAACAGTTGATATTAGGTCCAGAATAACCATGAAACAGCAACCAACTGCCAGAGAAATGGAGCTGCTAGATGAAAACCAGCCCAAAGTAGCACCATCAGTCCTCTGGGGAAGTGTTAAAACACCTAAGACCCAAAGATGTAAATGAGAACACCAAGATTAACGTCTGAATTCCACCTCACTAGCAGCACAGGTAGAAAAGTGGGATTCCTCCAAACCTTCAAAGTATGACCAATTGAACATGACGTGACTGCCTGAAGGTAAGATCATCATACAGTCAGCAAACCAGAGACTGCTAAGTTCAAAGGAGACAGATTGTGTATCACTTTCCAATGATTGACTGATGAACTGTTTACCTGTCCAAAGTCTAGGGAGGAAATGAACTTTGCCCTCAATTAGGTAACCATACTGAAGAACAACTGTATGAAAATCCTATTTAAAAAAAAAGTGTTCTCTCCTCCCTCCTTCAAAGTGGGTTATTTAATTTCAACATCATCGAAGCAGAAAACAGTTACTGTTTTATGGACAGAGTTTCAGAGTGAGCAGCACATGAAGCGGGAGCTGCTCCCAGCCAGAAATGCCTCTTTATTCTTCCACACAAACACTGCTTTACTGTGGGCTATTATCCTGTTATCATATTCCCCTTTCATTTAAATTTTTCAACTAGTCTAGAAAAAGCTTGTGACAGAAAAATCACCTTTTTATTTATTATTTCAACTAACTTACCTGAACCTTCATACACACAATTAAGTTTTTACATTTAAAGTATTTTAAATATTTAAGTTTCAAAACTTAAACTATATTTTATATATTTAAGTTTCAAAAGTTAAACTATAAACTTTAACCATCTGATGCCAGAGCATACTGTCAAGGTTTTAGAGTAGTCACTAATGAAAGACACCACCTAGCATTGCCAGGGGTTTGCTTTAAAGTTAGAAAACAAGTGTGTAAAGCAGCCAAGTCCTTTATGAACAAACTTATATGGAATATGCTTGCTTAAGATGAATTTTAAGGATAAGATACACACTGTGTTATAACTAAACACATACTTGAAAACACAGGAAAGGGTCACTTCACACATTTCCACATCTTGGCTACCTAAGTGACAAAAGTGGCTGAGGATACATTAGCATCAAACATTTAATTAAATAAATTCACAAGACCAGCTTTCATAAAAATAAACCCATGTTTTAAGATAAAAGTTTTTTGTTATTTGTGTTATGTAAGTCACCACTAAGGATGCACCTCCAGGACAACTGCTATACATCCTTGTGCCAGTGTGGTTTCAGAATTTTGAAAATAAAAACCATTTCATCTAGCATAAAGACATTAACAAGAGGACTATAAAGGAAAGCACCCTAAATTCCTAACACAGCAGTAACCTCTGTGAACGACCAGACTACTTCCCGCCCTCCACAGTTGCTGAGGTCCAGAGGTCGGTGCTGCTCTAGGTGGCACAGGACAATCACCAGAGAGCTGACACGCAAACAGCAGACAGGAGGAGGGGTGTCAGGAGAGCAAAGTCTCTAAAAGCTTCAGTGCTTTTTTTAAAAGCATATCTCATCAACAAATAGCAGAAATGAGGTTGTTCCAAGTATATATGAAACAAAAGTCCCCAAAAGCTGGCGATGCGGATCTCCATCTCTAGTGTGCTGGGAGAGCACAAAACCAATGTGCCAAGAGCAGACTACTCAGTTCCCAGGACTCTTAAACACAATTACACGCTCACCTGTGCAGCAAGGTCAGGGTTCTGGCTTAGTGACTGCATCATGCTTCTCATGTATGGGGCAGACAGCATGTTCTGCATAAGCTGTGGGTTTTCAGTTATTTGCTGCAACAAGCTTTGCATTCCTGGTGTGTTGAACATACTAGCTAAAATTTTATTTAAAAACAAACAAAAACCGGATTAAGACATATTAATATTTTAAAACAGTGTATACTGCACTTAAATTTTAGCTACTTAAAGAGGCATATGGCCATTTCCTTAGCAACAGGTTCACTTTATGCAATTTGGTTGCCCATGGTCAACCACAGCCCCAAAACATGAAATGATAACATATACAAGTAACAGTTAAGTTTTCAGAAGCATGAGAAAATGCAGTCCCCCTACTTCATCCCGTCTTCCAGTAAACCCATGCCTAGGAAGGGCTGTAAGCTGGTAAGATCCCGTTGTCTTTCAGATCTACCCTTATTTGACTTGCCAACTCCCAGGGCCAAGGATTCTGGCAGAAGCACTTTGGAGGCACCAGAATGCAGATAATACTGAAGGAAAGAAAATGCCGGCACAATGCTACCTGAACTATTTATTTAGTTCTTCACTTCCACTCTGGTTTTTGAACTACTGTCCCCTTTTACCTGGCTTAAAACATTTTACTATTTCCACTTATCTTTCTAATTTGCTCTAAGTCTTGTGTTTGTGATGTACCTATATTATCAAGTTTCAAGTTAGCTTTTCCACATTCCAAAGTTCAAAAATATCTTAAGAGAGTTTGGCAAACTAAAGCCGACAGGACCAATCTGGCTTTCACAACCTATTTTTATACAGCCCACAAAGTGAACATTTTTACATCTTTAAATGATTAAGAGAAAAACTTCTAGTGAAGATAAATATTTGCAGACTGTGGAAGCTATTAAAATTCGTGCTCAGTGACTGTCAGCTGTCATTCTGCAGGAACACCAGCTACGCTGACTCTACTGCTGGGTGCTCTGACACTGGAAAGGCAGAGGACTGTGTCATAACTGCTTCTAACGGCTTTGCAATGTGCCACAAGAAACCTCTCTAGCACCCCGCTTTTCTTAATTACAAATGAGAATTAATCATACCAGAAGTAAAATAAGCTGTTAATATCATGGTAGTTTAAGGCACAGTAGAGTGTGGACTACTTTACCAAATGAAATAGCTGTTCCATATCAAATATACAACACACATAGACATTATCAGACAAACACATCACAATATTCCAGTCAAGCACGAGAATACTCAGAGGCTGAGGAAGACTGGAAAGTTCTAAGCTGGTCTGTGATACATGATGAGACCCACTCTCACAAAAATCAAACAGCAGGACTAAAGATGGCTCAGCAGTTAGGAGTTGGACCACATTTCAGAGGACCCAGGCTCAAGTCCCAGGACCCATATGACAGCTTACAACCATCCACAATTTTAGTGCTAGATGCAAAGCCCTCTCTGGCCCTCAGACACTGCATAGTACAGACATATGCAGGCAAAACACCCATACACATAACAACCCAACCTCAAACCAACAAACTGTATTCACAGGAGAACAGAGACCAGAAAAATACAAAATGAACATGAAGTATCTCAGCAGAACTACAGTTCTTCAAATATGCTGTAACCAGTTACATTTTCAAGGGCATGTCAGGAAAGGACAGTCATGTACCAGCAGTAACTAATTCACAGTTAATTGTATCTAAATTGTACAGGCACATGTGTTTGGAGAAAGTAAACACAACCTTTTGGGGAGAACAGATGTTTTCCCCAGAATTAAGAACAGTAGACCCAACACCAACATTAAGTTAACATACAGTGGTAATGATTCTGAGTAATATTTTCTTGGCTCTTAATGGTCAAGACATTACTTATAGTGCCCTGTCTTAGGTTATTTAGGGAATCACAAAGTTTGAACTAAGGAAGAAATTTAACTCCTGGGCTAAAGATGGCTCACTGGTTAAGAGCATTTGTGGCTCCTGGCAGATGTCTCAGGTTCAACCCCTAGCACCCAATGGAGACTCACAACCATTTGTATGTAACCCTGGGTCCTGGGAACCCAATGGTCATGGACACAGTGCACAACTTCCATATATATAAAGTAAAATCTTAAAAACAAAAACTTCTCGGTCTTTTATGAACTGCCCAGGAAAGACTATTTTTTAAAGACACCAAGGATCTAGTGTTTGAGGCCAGCCTGAGTTGCACTTAAGTACTTCTTAAAAATAAAACAGCAAAGTGAGAAAACACTACCTCAATGAGACCTAAAACAGAATCTGCTCAATATCTGATATTGCTAAAAGGGTTTGGTCAGGCCAATTTAGAGGTCTTATAAAAGTGTATTTAAGGCCTGGCTTATTCACTATAGGTAAGTCCTGAGAAACTGTTTGATTCCTGCTGCTGAACAGCAGACATCAATGATGACCACCACTCACTCCTACAAACCTCGTCAGCTCAGGTCTACCTTGTCAGTATCCTGATGTGCCAAAGCATGGTATCTTGGCAGAAGTACAGCAATATTTTATTAGCTCATGGATGAGATTCATCTTTTTCTAAATGAGAAAGTCAATGTCATGAAACCCTCAATAATTTTAGAAATCAGCTTTTTCCAGAAACTGCAGTTTCTCCATGGACTCCGCGTGCTAACTCACTCTCACTGTAATGAACTAATCTGCTGTTGAGATGGGGTTTCTCTGTGTGTTCCTGACTGTCCTAAACTAGCTCTGGAGGACAGGCTGGCCTTGAACAAAAAAAAACCCTCAAATCATTTGGTAGGTCCACCCAAAAATAAACCAAGTAGATAGTCGAAAAAGTTCACCATCCTTTGGTATTAGGGAAACGCAAATGGAAACTGCTTTGGAATTCCATCCCACTCCAGCTAGAATGCTTAAAAAACACTGGCGAGGAAGGATAGGGAGGGGAAGAGGAGACCTCAGTCACTGCACATGGGATAAACTTGTGCAGCCACTGTGGAAATCAGAGTGGAGGATCCTAAAAAACTGAAAACAGAACCAGCACATGACCCAGCTACACATTTTTTGGTATAGATCTGAAGGACTCTTAGAAAACATACTGTGTTACAAAAGCCAGGCTAAAGAGCCAGCCTAAATGTCTACCAACAGACAAACAGACATAGAATATGTGAAATATATATGCAATGCAAGTTTATGCAACTGTAAAGAAAACTACAACCTTCAGGAATATGTATGGGAGCCACTAGAAACCCTCTGCTAAGTGAAATGAGGCAGACATAGATATGTTTTCTCTCACATAGAGAACTATATATACGGCTGTTTAAACCATGGGACTAGAAAGGAGATCATAACAGAGGTGGGAAACAGCTGAATACATGCAATAAAAAGGCAGAAGTTGGGATTAACTGGGAAGATGGACATGGGGAGGACAGAAGGGAAGAGAACAAGTAATAACTCGTATAATACTCACAGGCACAAAGCTGCCACTGTGGGACCCCCAATGCTTTTTATTTACTTTTATTTTATTTGTATTTTGCCTGCAATTATGTTTGTGTGAGAAAGTCAGATCTTGGAGTTAGAGACAATTATTTGCTGCCATGTGGGTGCTAGGAATGTGAGCCCAGGCCCTCTGGAAGATCAGTCAGTGTTCTTAACCACTGAGCCATCTCTCCATTCCTTTTTTTTTGGTTTTTCGAGACAGGGTTTCCCTATGTAGCCTTGGCTCTTCTGGAACTCACTCTGCAGACTGGGCTGGCCTGGAACTAATAAAGATCCACCTGCCTCTGCCTCCCACGTGCTGGGATTAAAGGTGTGTACCACCATTCCTGGCAACCCAGTGTTTTCTATATTAATCTAAAAATAATAAATAAACCTCCCCCCCCTCCCCAACAGAGCTCATACCTCACCGGTGATGAAAGATTCTGGTTCATGAGGTCTGACAGTAAGATCCAGAAACGTGGCTTGGGGGGGGGGGGGGGAGGCGCTGTTATCTAGCCTGATCTTGTACTTCCACATTCAAGTAATCTCCCAACCTTAGTCTCCCAAATATTGCCCTGAACCTGGCTGCAAACCCTGCTAGTTAACCCATCTGGCAGTTGCTCTACTTCAGCGCAGTTGAACCTGGCCTTTGGACAGATATTTGAGAATCCATAGGTATAGATCACAAGACCAACTAAAAAAAATTTCTCTTGACACTATCTCTGCTCTAGAAATCTTCAGCAACACTCCTGCTGACAATGCACAATCAACCATCACGTATGTAAAGTCTCCTTAAAAAAAAAAAAAAAGAACAAAACCCAAATCTTTGACGTAACAATGGGAATGAACCCAGGAAGGAAGCATCTACTTAAAAGATTCACAAATGAGCCGGGCGTTGGTGGGGCACGCCTTTAATCCCAGCACTCGGGAGGCAGAGGCAGGCGGATCTCTGTGAGTTTGAGACTAGCCTGGTCTACAGAGCTAGTTCCAGGACAGGTTCCAAAGCTGCAGAGAAACCCTGTCTCAAAAAACAAAAAACAAACAAACAAAAAAAAAGATTCACAAATGTCGGGCAGTGGTGGCACACACACCCAGCACTCAGGAGGCAAAGACAGGTGGATCTCTATGAGATTGAAGACAGCCAGGACTGTTACACAGTGAAACTCTCTGTCTTGAAACAAACAAACAAACAAAAGACTCACAAACAAAACCAGAGACCTGAACACCTCAATCCCCACATTCCAGTCTTCACAAAACATGACTGGCCTGAAGACCAGACACACACACCAACTGTACTGAAAATTTGGTTCAAAAAGCACAGAGCAAAAGGATCCCACCAAGAGCAATTACCTAAGGGTATAAAAGACCAATCTTTTCAGAGTAATATGGACATAACCTTATCTCTAACTATGTCAACATTGGAGCCTTGGTTCACACACATCATCCACACACTCATTTCAACTCAGCAGACATCACAGTGTTCAAAAGTCCACTCCAGTTTCTGCTAAGAACCTACACACAGTGCTTTCACATTATCTGGGAATCTCAACTTGGTTTCCCAAGTTCCATGCCTAATTCTTATAGCTCTACATCTCTACAAGAATAGAAAAACTAGGTTAAAAAAAAAAAAAAGGACCACATGGTAATGAAGTCATATACCTCTAGAAGAAAATACTTTCCAGCAAAACAAATCAGAGACACACACAGTACAAATGGATTTCAAACTGAGTGCAAACTGACACAAAAGATCCACACACTGTGTGGCAGTCTATTTCTATGAACTCCTAGAGCTGAAGACTGCCTGCTGACAGCCTCGAGGAAGGATGGATGAAGCAAGAGATGGAAATGTTTGAGTTAGTGTGGCAACAACTGAGGGGTTAGACATCTATATCTGCATTTTTCATGCTATATCTAGTATCTAACAATAACAGTATAATCATGGTAATAATGAGGGCAATCTGTTTAACTTCTTCACCAGTAAGTGGATATGTGGCTTATTTTCCTATTTTGTTAGTCACGCAGCCATTACTTCATGTCCTGGGTTACTCAAATGACTTCAGAATCAAGTTCTTTTCATTAACCCCCCACTACAATAGTACTTTCACCTAACCGACACAAGACAATTCAAAAGAGGAATTAAGTATGGCTCCTGATTTTGAAGACACCAGTCCACACAGTGTGGAAATTGTGGCAGCCAAGAAGCAGGGAAGGGGCACCCTAGAACCCACTTCTAGTAACCTACCGATCTCCTAAAGTCTCTAATACCTTCCCAAATAGTGTCAGCAGTTGAGGCTTTAACACATGGACCTATGAGGGGCATTTCACTCCAAACCATAGTACCCAATATATGATCTTTGAATAGTAGCCAGGGTAATTTCATTATCAACCTAAAATCTTAGTCCTCTGTTTAAAATTGTCCCAGAACAAAATCTGGAGATCTCCTAGGTGACCACACACATTAATCATTTCACAATAAACATACAGGTCAGAACATTTTGTAGGGGCTAGAGACAGAGAAGCGATTAAGAGAGAGAGAGCTGCCGGGCGGTGGTGGCGCACGCCTTTAATCCCAGCACTCGGGAGGCAGAGGCAGGCTGATCTCTGTGAGTTCGAGGCCAGCCTGGTCTACAAGAGCTAGTTCCAGGACAGGAACCAAAAGCTACGGAGAAACCCTGTCTCGAAAAATCAAAAAAAAAAAAAAAAAAAGAGAGAGAGAGCTCACTGCTCCTGTAGAAAACCTAGGTTTAAGTTCCAGCACCCACACGATGGCTTGCAACAATCTGTAACTCCAGCTCTAGAGGACCCAACACCCTTTCTGATTTCCATGGGCTCCTGTACGAAGACACTCTACATAGATAATTATTTAAGACAAATGTTATACCCCACAGACATCTACAATATAAAAATTCTATCCCTCAAACAATCCCAAAGCTTGCAACCCAGAGTCCCCACAAAGGGATACACATGAAGGGCGACAGCACCACCAACAGTTACATTATCAATGTAAGGCATACATACCTCCTGCTCCAGGCACCAAGCCTGACCCTGTGGTGCTCTGCCCAGTAGGGGTACTGGTGGCACCCCCACCAGAGCCGCTCACAGCACTAGTGGTGCTACCAGAGGCTGGTGAACTCTGGGAAGTCTGTGGAGCCCATGGATTGGGTAGAGGATCCCTATTTTCGGTTCGAGAAGGCTGACTCCCTTCACCTGAGGAATTACTGCTCACTAAGGAAGCAAATGGATTACCACCAAACTGAAAGAAAAGAAAGAACAGTTACAGCCATGGAGCTATTTTTCAACAAAGCATTCTCTATAAATGGCACCCTCAATCAGACTATTTGTGCTAGACAGGAACAACTCTTAGGCCTGAGCCTTGGAAGAAATGGATTACCTGCTCTTGCGCGGCATTCAGCATAGGTTCCTGAATATCTGTATACATGCGTCGTAAAGCATTGTAGCCCCCAGGAATACTTTCTAGGTTGCTCAAGGCTCGGTCCTGGTTTCTCATCATTTCCTGCATCATTGCTGGATTTCTGGCAAGTTCCAACGTCTAAGAAATAAATCTCTATTTTAAAAAAGGCACTGAAATAGCAAAGAATTTCTTCAGTATTTAAAACTAGCTAAAGTTTATAAGAAGCCACTGACTTGGATTAGCTCAAGCCCCAGTAGTCAGCATCATAGCGTTGTTAGGAAAGCGACTGCCGCACACAGCTACCCTTGCTTCCCTCATCTCTTTTCTGCCTGCCAGAAAGCGAATCATTTGCTCAGTTCATGGAAACCTAATTCTGTGTGAGTTCGAGGTCAGCCTGGTCTATGCAGGAAGTTCCAGAACAGCCAAGGCTGTTACACAGAGAAACCCGGTCTCAAAAAACAACAATATACATTCATGGGACATTACAAAGCAGTTTGAGTGAATGGTGCATTTACAAAAACAAACAAACACCCCCCCCCCACACACACACAGATTTTCTCTGTGTTGCTTTGGAGACTGTCCTGGAACTAGCTCTTTCTTATACCACAGGAAACTCTCAACACCCCCTCCCCCATTTTTTGAGACAGGGTTTCTCTGTGTAGTCCACGCTGGCCTCAAACTCACAAGAGATTCTCCTGTCTCCGCCTCCAAAGAGCTGGGATTAAAGCTGTGTACCACCACCACCACCACCAAAATAAATAAATAAATAAATAAATAAATAAATAAATAAATATTGTGTCCTACCATGCTCAATCTGAAGATTTTCTTTCATATAATACATTTTGACAGTGTTTCCCCTCTCCCCCAAAACTGTCTTCTTTTTGTGTTTGTTTTGTTTTCAATGTGTGAGGGAAGAGTAGGACATTGATATCATTTTTCCATCCTGTAATCTAAGACACTTCTCTTAGACCCCCAGCACCTCCAGAGGAGAAACAGGCATGGAAGGTTTGTCCTCTAATGAGTGGCTTTTAAAAGAATTTTCAAGCATGGCAGAAAATTCAGATTTCAAACAGGCTAAATTAATATTAATATCCTTCTGGGATCTATGATGGAGTTGTTTAGACTAGATAGTCATAATTATAGTTTTTCTTAGTTATGAGAAAAGATAAATTAGATATAAAACTTTAGACTCACAAAGATAGGATAGATAATATTTTCTTTAATTTTGCAAAATACAAATAGACTTAGTATTATAACTATAATTCTTGCTTGATACCTGTTGTTATATGTAATGTTACTGTATTAGAGTTAAAACTTTCCTTTTTTATTAGACAGAAAAGGGGAGATGATGTGGGATGCCCCTCTATATGCTGTGAATGTTCTATTACTATTGGTTAATAAAGAGGCTGATTTAGCCAATGGCCAGGCAGAATAACAGGATGGGAAATCCAAGCAAAAATCAGAGAAAAAGAAGGAGGAGTCAAGGAGATCCCACCAGGCACCAGGGAAGAAAGATGTGAGGTAACAAGCCACAAGCCTATGAGCTTTGTGATAAAAATATAAGCTAACAGAAATGCGTTAATTTAAGATGTAAGAGTTAGCTAGGAGGGGCTGGAGAGATGACTCAGCGGTTAAGAGCATTGCCTCCTCTTCCAAAGGTCCTAGCAACCACATGGTGGCTCACCACCATCTGTAATGAGGCCTGGTACCCTTTTCTGGCCTTCAGGCATATACACAGAAAGAATTAGCTAGGAATACGCCTGAGCCATTGGCCAAACAGTGTTGTAATTAATATAAGTTTCTGTGTGATTACTTGGAACTAGACAGCCGGGAAATGAAAGCACAATCTCCAGTTATAGAGTTTTGCTGACTTTCCTTAAACAATGGTTGGAATTCTCTTTAACTTTGCAGTATGTGTGTGTGTGTGTGTGTGTGTGTGTGTATATATATATATATATATATATATATATATATATATATATATATGGCAATCTCTAGAACTACAGAAAGTAACATATAAACACACACACACACAGATTTTTTTTAGTTAAGGGAGAGAAATACTTCTCTACATACTTGTCTCATTATATCCGGATTATTAAGCATATGACTAATCTCTGGATTTCTCTGTATCAACTGCTGCATCTGTGGATTGGCCATAATCAACTGCCGCATCAGGTCAGGGTTTGAGAGCATGCTCTGGACGAAGGGATTTTCCATGATCTGGACCATCATTTCAGGGTTGGACAAAAGCTGGCGTTGCATCTGGCTCTGTAGTTCAGAGAAGTTGGTGGTATTTAAACCCAAGCTACTCAGACCTGCAAGTCCTCCAAGTCCACCTTAGAGGAAAGAGGGGAAAACAAAAATAAAAATCAGAAGCTTGTCCTAAAACATGAAGAATTATTAACTCATTAATTTATAAGAAACCCTTTAAAATAACTTCTCTCACTCGTTTTTATGATATTAGGTTATACTTACTATTATACTATTCAGCTTTAATTCCTATGCTATGGCTTAGATATGAAGTGTTGCCCCAAAGCCTTGGTCCTCAGCTGGTGACACTGACGAAGGTGACTGTGGTGCTAATGAGTTCGTAGCTCAATAGACTGTGCGGTGCTGTACATTTGAAGGGACTTCCTGCTGCTACGGATAGAGGACTTCTATATCTGTGTTATAAAAACATACTTGTACTCCACATTGGAGAGAGCAATCTGCTGAGCACTCGGTAACAACACACGCACACACTGCTAACAGTCTGTCTCGAGCTACCTCACCCACCGTAGACCAGACGCCCTAGTTAATACAGCACCGACACCAAGAAGACACTGATTATTCTCAGAATCTCAGGAACTTTCTGAACCCAGGACACAGACACTCCAAGCCTCACGGCTAACCATCTGACCAGAGAGGCAAGCCTGAGCTCTGAAATGATCGACCATCTCGTTTCTCTCCCACCCCATATCTGCTGGTAAAGATAGGCTGTGGCTACACTGCCAGGGAAGCAGCGCTCTGCTGCACCCCTGCCACACCACAGGCCTAAATGCAGCAGCAGTCCATCAGCTGAAACTTCGTGCAAAAATTTTCCCTCAGCAAAACTGCTTCTTTCCGGTTGCTTATCACAGTGGGCCCCTACTCCTCCACCCCAAATATATCCTACAATCAAAATTAGCCAGATTTTCAACTTTGATATTTAACAGAACTAAGGCATATTTTTTTTTAACCTATTTGCCCCTTCTTGATCCCTCACAGGGTTCCTAAAAGCCTAGGCATTCTGAGTGCCTTTTGTTATTATATCAGCCCCTGTAATTGCTCCCTGATGGGGGGTAATGCTGAAGAGACCCCTGGATAGCCCCAGGATGATGGAGCGGTCATCAGAAAGTCTAATGGATTAAGGTGGAACTTTCAACCCTACCAACCAGACACAGAAGGCGAAGAAAAGCAGCTGGAGACTCCTCTCTGTGTAAACCTTAACAAGTTTCTATTTATTGCGTTATTAGTATTGTGCGTTTGTTGTACAGCAATCTATGCCACGTTCTAAAACTTGTGTATCATATACTGGCACACTATAATTGAGTTACCCAAAAATTCTCAAGAAAATGGCAAAAGGTGTATGACCTCTAATATCCTAATATATGAAAATGGTAACCAAGGAAAACTTCAAAGCACTATACTAGCTATAGCCTTTGGGGCTGATACTGACATTTAAGCAATTCTTCTATTTAGCCCAAATTTTATTACTTTCAGAACATTTTTCCTCAACAAAATCTCAACATGTGCAACTGAATAAAGAATAGCAGTGTGTGGGCAGTGGTGGCGCACGCCTTTAATCTCAGCACTCGGGAAGCAGAGGCAGGTGGATCTCTGTGAGTTCGAGGCCAGTGTGGTCTAGTTCCAGGACAGGAACCAAAAGCTATGGAGAAACCCTGTCTCGAAAATCAAAAAAAAACCCAAAAATCCAAAAAAATAAAACAAAACAAAAAAACCAAAGAATAGCAGTGTGGAGCTGGAGAAGCTCAGTGTGAAGTGCTTGCATAGCAGGCAGGGACAAAGGCAGGGAGGAAGACAAATAGGGGAGGTGACAGGGAAGGGAGGCACAAGGAAAGGAATATGGTTTGGCTGAAGTATTAGTTTATTAATTATTTTTTTATTTTATGTGTGAGTGTTTTGCCTGCATGTATGCATGTGGGCCATATGCATGCCTAGTGTCCACAGGGGTCAAGAGAGGGTATCAGATCCTTCAGAACTGGAGTTAAGGATAGGTATGAGCCACCGTGTGGGCTCTAAGAACTGAACCAGGGTCCTCTGCCAAGAGCAAACAGTGACTCTCTCTTAAACTACTGAGCTATCTCTCCAGCCTCAGGACAGTTTCAAAGTAACTAATGCAGTTACAGAGTGATTTTGTATGCCTATAATCTCCACCCCAGGAAAGCCCACAGAGAAAGACCAGAGTTCAAGGCTAACTCAGCTACATTTACAAAACCTTCTCAAACAAAACACAAGACAAAAAGATAACATATAACTAGTGTTATCCACCTTTCCTGTACAAATGAAAACATTATTACTCACTTGATCATAGTTTATCATCCTTAACTATATCCTCATAAGCAATTGTGTGGTAGTCAATTACTAGGTACGCCTAGGCTACATCACTTTCATTATAAAACAGGTGTGTCATTTACTAAATATAAATGTAAGCTAATCAAACATATTTGTATCCCAAGCTACTTTCTTAACACAATTACAGAACTATGAAAATTTTTAAAAATTGTTTTTTAAGTGACTTATGTTTTATCCTGTCATTTTATCTAAAGCTACCCTTGGAAGAGAACTTTTTACCTCCCACCCCTACTTAAAAAACAAAAAACAAACAAAAAACCACCACCAAAACAATACTTACCTAAGCCAAAAGGGTTGTTAGCAGCAGGACCAGATGTAGGGTTATTGTTAGGAGATGATGAGTTGGTAGCACTGCTTCCAGTGGTGTTTGTTTGCTGAGCTGAAGGATCTTGCGGCCTAGTGAAAATAATTAAATCAAAATGTAGAATGCAGAACTCATTATTTTTAAAAGAAATTCTAAAATTCCAATAGCCAGAAACAAATGGCAAGTTCTCATAAACAGAACTGTCATCAACGCCCTGCCTGAAATAATACTGAGCATTAGGAACAAATATACGAAACAGTAAACTTTATAAAATTACTATTGTCTCTCCTCTTTCAATCGCAGTGACTATATGAGAAAGAGCCAACAAGTCACCTCATAGAAGACAATCACAATCACAAGCTCAATACTTATTGTAGATTGCCTTGGCGGGTTACTTAGTCTAGGGGTTTGTAACCCGCCTGGCAGTTCAGTTATTCCAGGGTCCCGGAGAGGCACTATCTGGAAGATAAATGGGCTAGGAGACAAGAAGGAGGCTAAGCTGGGGTTCCTGTCAAAGCCTCCGTTTATTAGAGATGGGATACAGCTTATATAGGGTAAGGAGTTGGGGGGTGGGCACAGGGGCCTGGGCTCTTGCCGCGTGGTTCACGTTGGTCACATGGTCCTCGTTGGTCACGTAGGCCAGGAAGTCACAACTAGGAGTTGACACACCTAGTTCTCTAGATAGTTTGGAATGTGGGGCAGGTTCCGTTAACAGATAGCTCTCCATTAACAGCTAATTTGGGTGTGGGGTTCTCTGCAGACTCCCCAGGGTGATGGTTCCTGCAATGATTTTAGGAGGAAATTGGCTCCTGACAGATCTGTAGATTCCCCAGGGTGATGGTTCCTGTAATGATTTTAGGAGGAAATTGGCTCCTGACAACTTATAACCCATTTTCTAGTCCACAGGGCTAGGGGCACTTTAACTTCAGCCCACGACACTGTTAAAAGTAAAAAAAAAAAAAAAAAAACTTAAGCCACTTTAAGGGGAGCATTTGCTGCTCTTCCACAGGACAGAGTCCAGTTCCCAGCACTGATGTCAGGTGGCTCCAGAGGGTCTGATGAGTCCAAAGGCAGGCACTCAATGTGCGTGCACAGACAAGCACACAATTGTAAAATATTGTAAAATCTCAAAAAGATGGTGCTTAGGATGGTCAAGTAACAAGGGCAAGAGTCTGTAAAGGGCTAGTTCTGACATCAATCAGGCAAGAGTTGAGATCCTGTTCCATGTCTCCCTTTGGCTGTCAGGCTATTGACACAATGGTCGAAGGAGCTGGAGTTTTCCCAGGAACCACACGCTGGGAGAAGGAAAGGCTGGAGACCTGGTGTCAACTACAGGGAGAACCTGGCTCCTAGAATGTAATTTTATCAGAGTTTGATAACTGGATAGAATATCTTGTAGGAGACACCGAGGCCAAGTCAAGGGGACCTCACTTTTACCCGGACTGTTTAGGTATGTCTACCTTTTATCCTCTGTTTAATCCTAACCTTTCATCAGGACTCTGAGAAGAAGTGGGTGGGGAGGCTGTCAGTGGATTCCCTCTCTCATTGTCAGCACTACTTGTCTGTATAATTGGACTACTAAGGATGAGAGATGGAGCCAGCTTGTTGAGAGGCCAGCCTCAGTGTCTGACACTAACAATCCGGCTGTCATTGCTTAGCACTTCCAAGAAGAGCAGGACTACTAGAGAAGCCTCCCACCTGACTGGGTCTTACCACTTTGTTGATTCAAAGGTCTATTTCCACTTCAGCAACTCAGAAAACATAATCTGCCTTACACTTGCGTGGCAACCTGGCATCCATCATCCATGCCTTTATGTGCTCTGTGTACCACAGTTATCTGCATGTGTCCTCAATAAAGCTGCATCGTGGTCATGCAAGAAGTAATCAAGGACACAGAAAAGCACAGGAAGAACTATTTCCTTATCAGTTCTCTGGGGAACAGCAGCACAACGAGTTCCTAGAGCAAATGTAAGCTCTTGAAAGACATGCTTAACTCTAGTGCTTTAATTAAACTACAGTCTGTAGCAGTGGGAGAGTCAGAAGACAGTGAGGCACACCTACAGTCCCAGCATCCGGGAGGAAAGCTAGTGTGTGCGCTTTCCAAGGCCACACGACAACAGCCTCAAGCTACCTGAGCTATGCAGCACAGCAAGTCATGGCTAGCCTCAAAGTTAATAAATGTGAAAAACGTCGTAGGAGGCTTTATTTTTTTTTTAAGATTTATTTATTTATACATACACAATGTTAGAAGAGGGCATCAGATCTCATTACAGATGGCTATGAGCCACCATGTGGTTGCTGGGAACTGGACTCAGGACCTCTGGAAGAGCAGTCAGTGTTCTTAACCTCTGAGCCATCTCTCCAGCCCTGTAGGAGGCTTTATACATTTACTCAACAACATTATCTTGGGTATTTGTATAGCAAAATACAAATTTTTATGTAATAAAGCCCCATATTCAAGTAAGTCTGATGAAGCAAATGGTGAAACAAACATTTACAAGATATTCAGAGTGACAATATAAAAATAAGTTTCTCTCAAAAATTGATCACATAATAAATAAATTACAAGTGTTTTATAGTCTGCTGTCACCAAAATCATGTCTAAAACTTTCCTTAAAGCAAAGAGAACAGCTAAAACACAAGTTGTTACCTAACTCAAAAAAATTTCCACATAGGGATCTGATGCCCTCTTCTGGTGTAAAGGTGTACATGCAGGTAGCACTCATGCATAAAATAAATATATCTTTAGGAAAAAAAAAGAAAGAATAAACACTTTCCTCCTCAAAAAAAAAAAAAATTCCACATAATGCCAGCTTAATTTTCTAAAGTAATAAATGAGGGGCTGCCCTGAATTTGTACCCCAACCCTCTCCATAAAAACGTTTACCAGCCAGGCGGTGGTGGAGCACGCCTTTAACCCCAGCGCTTTGGAGGCAGAGGCACGCTGAGTTCAAGGCCAGCTTGGTCTACACAGCTAGTTCCAGGACAGGCTCCAAAGCTACAAAGAAACACTGTCTCGAAAAACAAAAGTTTCCCTAACGAACATGCCAGAAGTAGTACTGCATGGAGTCACACTGCTGTTTTCACCTAAACATTCTGTTATCAACAGAAACAAAAATACTTTAACCATTTAAACACTATGATAAGGAAAACCCCTTAAAGCTGACACTGGCTATTTAAGAAGACATACCTGTTCTGTGTTTTGATGACAAGGTGAACAGTAAGTCCATCGTGAATTCCATGCTGGCTCAAAGTATCTTGATCTTTTAAAATTTTTCCAGCAAATATCAACACAAGTTGGTCAGTATGAGATTTGAAACGTTTAGAGATTTCTTCTTTGAACTGAGTGAGATAAAATAACATATACATTTTTAATACCAGGTGTTTGCACAGCATTGTCCAGACTGGAGAGGCCCCAGCACTCTGACATCACAAGCACCCCATCATCTCCATCTTAGTATCCAACTCCCATCTCTAACACAAAGGACTTACTCCAAGTGTGTTAGAGACATGGTCACTGCACCCTAAGACGGAGGCATGGTGTTTGTTTTCTTCGTAGGCTAACAGGACCAAATTTAGCTAGGGATCACAAATTACTTTTTGCTAAACTTCTCCTGTTTCCTGGACCTCCATCTCCAGTCCCCTTTCTTTTCAGTTCCAATACGCACAGCGCCCAGCTCATACTCTCAGCCACTTTACTGACTACCCTAACCACAGCTTCCATGCACACTTATCAACAAGCAGTTCCACAGAAAGGCAAAGGCTAAACAATAAAATCTTTTTGGGAGAGAATCAAACTATAAACAGAGAAAGCACAAAGAACAGTTGACAAATGCTTTCCAGAACCGAAAAGCAGAAAAAAAAAGGATTAGAAAGAAATGAGAAGAGCAGAGAACTGCTTGCTAGAGAACAGAAAAGTCTGCAGACGCAGGTAAAGAAGGCACTACAGAGAAAAGCTTACGCACACTGAAGTCTCTAGTAAGATAACCAGAGTACACAACCAGAAAGCCGCACCAAGGCTGGGAATCCACTAACAGACTACCTAGAGCAGCACAGTTCAAGTCTACAGAAGAAACACTGCTCCAAACTCCCACTACACGGTGGTAGGTTTCAATCCAGCACTACTACAGAGAGGATGATTTGCCACAAGTCCACGAATCCACTGAGAAGGGCTGAGTGTCCCATATCTGAAAAGCTTCTGGAAGCAGTTAGGCCATCTCTAATATCAGTAAGGACCTACTCCAAAATATTCCAAATCTTTAAAACTGTTCCAAAATAACCTGAGATTCTGAGTGCCCCATTGTCACTAAAAGGTCTCTAATTTCAGACCATTTCAGACAGGAAAGCTCAACCACCTGTGACCTGAGGCTTAGAAGAAGTTCCAGGATCAGGGAATGTAAGTCAGGGCTACAGACAAATCACATAGCCACATGCTATCAACCAGAAAAGCATAAAAATTCACAGTACTCTACACCTTCCTGTATAGATGAAATTCCCCAACCCATGTCCTAACACTGTATGTGACTGTAGTGTTCTGTTTGGTTAGTTTGGTTCTGAGATAGGACATGATACTCTGGAGTAGAAGATGACCTCAAACTACCAGCCACCCTTCCAGCCTAGCCTCCCAAGTCCTGGCACCAAGGCTTCAGGACTTCACCCAACAACCTGGATTTTACAACCTACCTTCTCAACTCATGCATACAACCAAACTTCCGAAAAAGGCCAAGAAATCATAAAGATACACAAATTGTACTACAGTAAATACTGTGTAACTCCCTCATCTGAGCGCCCCCCCCATTTGAAACTAAATGATATATAATCTTTTTTGTCACTGTTGGTTTTTTTGAGACAAGGTATCTCTACATAGTCCAAGTTGCTCTGGAACTCATTATGTAGGTAGACCAGGCTAGCCTTGATCTCACATTAATCTGACAGCCTCTGCAGGCAATTAAAGGTGTGCGCCACCACACCTGGCTACGTGATATATAATCTTTTCAACTAAGCAATTTCCAACTGACTTAAAAAACAAAACAAAGAAACAAAAATGAAGACAGCAACAGCAACAACAACAACAAAAGCCAGGTGGTGGTGGCACACGCCTTTAGTCCCAGCACTTGGAAGGCAGAGGCAGGGGGATCTCTGTGAGTTTGAGGCCAGCCTGGTCTACAGAGAGTTCCAGGACAACCAGGGCTACATAGAGGGTGGAAAATGAATTTTATGCCCTGGCAATGCTGAAGCATGCATGGGCAGCCTGTATATGGCAGTTCTGTTGAACTTGTCCATATAGGGTTTCATGGTCTAAGCTGATAGGACAACTGACCAGGTCTCTTCCTCAAGAGTACACCAGATCCTCATTACAGATGGTTGTGAGCCACCATGTGTTTGCTGGAAACTGAACTCAGGACCTTTGGAAGAACAGGTAGTGCCTTTAACCGCTGAGCCATCTCTCCAGCCCCTACACAGAGAAAGCCTGTCTCAAAAACCCAAAACAACAACAAAACCCCACAAACTACACACCATTCTATATTCTGCACCACACTATACGGAAAGTGCACAACGTAATCACCCATTAGGCACTTCCTCCCTTTGATAGTTATCAGAAATAATATAATAAAGGAAGTATTTTTATAAGGCTCAATGCATAAAATACAAGCATCAAACAAAAAGTGGTGGCTACTCTTCTGCTAGCTCTCTTAACCCACAAGAACTCTGTGAAGAGTGTGTATCTTTTTTTAACCACAGAGAAAAGGGGTTAAAGACTTGTCCCTCAATGCTGTCAGTGATAATAAATTGCTGCACTGGTTTCCAACATAGATCCAATTTCAAGGACAAACCTATACAGACCACACACAAAATAAAATTAAATTCATAACTTTTATTATAGATTTATTATAATAGATAAAATGCATTTCATACATAAAAGGAGGAAGTTCATCTAAATCAACTGTTTTAATCTTTAAAAAAAAAGATTTATTCATTTATTTATTATGTATACAACATTCTGCCTGCAGGCCAGAAGAGGGCGACAGATCTCATTACAGATGGTTGTGAGATGTGGTCGCTGGGAATTGAACTCAGGACCTCTGGAAGAGCAGCCATCTCTCCACTGAGCCATCTCTCCAGCCCCAACTGTTTTAACCTTAAACTCAGAAAGTTTCTTTAGTTTGATTTCTCTCACATCCTGAAGTAAATAATCTAAATAAATAAAATCATTGTGCTGGCAAGATGGCTCAGTGAGTAAACAGCCTGGAATAACCACTGATGGAAGGAGAAAACTGGCCTTTGACTTTCACGAGTGTAACTGTGGCCTCCACGTGCACATGCACGCACAAATACACACACAATTAATACATACAATCATACAGCATTTTATAGTGTTTGAAAATTTGAAGGTAAGATACTAGATCTAAAGCATGCTAGTACTTTTCTTCCAAATTCCCACTACCGTTATGTAAGTGGGATGTTTTAAGCTTTACTGAGTTATAACTCACCAGGCATCAGGTGGCGCACACCTTTAATCCCAGCACTTGGAAAGTAGAGGCAGGTAGATCTCTTGAGTTTGAAGACAGCCTGGTCTACAAAGGGAATTCCAGGACAACTAATGCTACATAGTTAGACTCTGTCTCCAAGCATATATATCTCACATACCATGTAATCTGATTCAGAAACAGACTGCAATGATGACAAGAGTCAATTTCAGAACACCCTCATTAAGTCCCAAAGAAATCTGGACCCTTCAAGCTATCACTTCCCCATAAACTCATCAGGTCCAAGGCCATTTCCCAAAAAGCCCTAATTTACTTTCTGTACATTTTACTCTTTATAGGCTTGTCTATTTGCGATCATTCAATCCCATACATAACCTACTCAGCCATACAGTAGGTGGTCCTTGGTACTGACATCTTACACTTGATACTGTATTTTAAAGGTATTGCACACTGAGGCTCCCAGAAAGAAAAGCACAACTATACTTACTAACTATAGACATTGAGACTATTGCAGATAATAATTATTTTGAGGTTTTAGACTCTTTGAAAGCTACTCACTGCCCACTTTTGTTTCTGACCATTGAATCAAAAATCTTTAAAATGTATCAATAAGCCAATAGCTCATCCAATCCAAAAACTAAGAAACCATTATATAGCATCTGAAACCTATAGCAATTTCCTCTTTGCTGTATCCACCTACCTGTGATCTCCACCAATGCATCTGACAGAAATACTGTCATCAGAGATGAAACCTCTTGTATAAACCACCTTCACAGTAGAATTCACCTTTCAAGCTACCTTGATGTCCCCGGGTCATTGTCAACTCACATTTGGTTCAAGAATAAACTCACTCCCTTTGAAGTGACATGTGCTTTGCACCAACAATTTATTCATGGAGCATATATGTTTGTACTTCATTCATCTCTATAGTCAATGCTGGAAGGCATTTTAACAGCATTACTTCACAGCAAAACTCAGCAAACTAAGAAAAAATAAATAAATCTTAGACCAGACAGGAGACCTACAAAATAATGCAAGCACATACTTAACTATGAACCAATGGATGGTTCCCTCTAAAGTCAGCAACAAAGTGGAGTGTGTCAACTGGGGGCACCTGGTCTTCAGAGTCCCTGCTGGAGCAAGAGGTGGAAAGAGGGAAAGAAGGCAAAGAGCAGGAAGCTCTTATCAGTCCCCAGCCATTTTAAAGCACAACTGGATGCAATTTAAACACATCTTTCAAGAAATGAGAAGACGAGCCAGGCAGTGGTGGCACAAGCCTTTAGTCCTAGCACTCAGGAGGCAGTGGCACATGGATCTCTTGAGTTGTGAATTTGAGGCCAGCCTGCTTCACAGAGCAAGTTCCAGGACAGAGAAACAGGTGGAGGGTGAAGAAAGAGAAGAAAATAGAAGATGAATAACAGACAAGGCAAAAATATTTGCAAAAGGCATATTTTGGGGGCTGGAGAGATGGCTCAGTGGTTAAGAGCATTGTCTGTTCTTCCAAGGGTCCGGAGTTCAATTCCTGGCAACCACATGGTGGCTCACAACCATCTGTAGTGAGGTCTGGTGCCCTCTTCTGGCCTGCAGACATACACACAGACAGAATATTGTATACATAATAAATAAATAAATATTTTTTAAAAGGCATATTTTGATAAAGTTATTTATTGCCTAAATATACAAAGAGCTCATAAAACTTGACAATAACAATCTACTTTTCAAATGGTTTGTTAAAGCAGGAACTTCAGAGATCTACAGATGACAAGTCAGCATGAAAGATGCTCCCCACCACACCTGGATGACCTAAAACTAAAGAGATAAGCAACAGATATGCACTAAAACAGTCAAAATTCA